TATTGGACACCTTCCGACCTGAGGGGCTCATCTTCCGGCGTCATATCTTTTAGCCTTTAACTTCCTTCAATCTTTTTCTGTGTGCATAGCACTAGTTTTCAGTCTTCATTCAACTCCAGAAAACATCAGAAACTGCTATTAGTGTGTCATATGCTCATTCCCCTACCAGGGTGCTTCCTCTGTTCTTTGCTGTTCATTGAACGCTTTTACGTTGTGACCTGTTCTTTAGGAAGAACAACTTTTACCATTGTTGTCCTCGGGGGGAGTTACTTCAGCAGTGGCAAAAACCATACTTGTGGCTTTTGCTTTCAACAGGAAATGGTGGTAGAAGAAAGAGATGAAAGTTGTGTTATTTAGATGAAATCTGATTCAAGCCAGCATTTTGGATAGCACTCATTCTGTTGCCTATTCTGCAGAACAGAATGTATTGGGCACATCATTTTATAAACTTGTTCTCCCCTATCTCCATATAAAGATCATGTTTGGGGCTACAGCCAGATTGGACTGGTTTGCAGCTGTTTCTAAGAAGAAATGTGTGCACAGCGGTGTCTGGCAACACAGTCTCAAATAACCATATGTTTGTATCTTCTCTTTCTTTGTTTTACCCTGATTGTTTTCATTTTTTTGATTTTATGTTTGTAGCTTGTTTTTTTATGGCATGTATTCTATACAAATAAAATTGGCCACTATGTTAAAGTGTAGTAGTAGTTTCAAGGACAGTGATGAGGGCATCTTTCCAAAAAAGCACGAAGCTTGCCAGGTAGCTAGGTCAAGTCTCCTGCAATCCCAAAAACACAAATCTGGAGTCATCAGGAAACAAGACTTTGGCACTACAGAAAAGCAAGTGGAAAAGTTAAATATTAATGGTTGGGGTTCTTTTTTTGTTGTTGTTTTTTGTGTGTGATAATGTTGTCAGAATTCCTATTTTTAAATTGAAGTAGAACCTTTCATATATTTTTATAATGTTTCAGTCAACATCTCTATGGACTCTTTACTTGACACTTTGGAAGCTGTTGTGCTGGACTTTCCTCATAATTTATTTATTAAATAAATAAATAATATACTCTAAAAGCGATAAAGGAAGGATTATTCAAAAATATATCATTAGATACCCTTGAAGGTATCCAGTTGATACTGGCAGAATTGAAGATCTCAAGGTTCTATCATTTACCCCTGGTTTTATCATGTGTTCAAGGCCTTCTGGAAAAGAATCAAGTCTAATTCCTGGAGAATGATATTACACAGGAAGAGAGCCACCATGGAGAAAGCTCTTTTTCTTGGTCCAGTAGATGTATCTCCCTTATTGAAGGGACCTGTTACATACTCTGCCTCCCCGTGGTAGAGGTAACTGAGAGAAGCTGGTCCTTCAAGTAACTTGGCCCCATACCGTGTAGGGCTATAAAGGTGCTAACCAGGATCTTGAATTAGATCCAGAAGCAATTGGCAACCAATGAAGCCTGCAAAAGTGTCAACCCATGCACAAATCTAGGCTCGTGCAAAACCATGTGACCACCACGTTTTGAACCATCTGAACCTTCTGGATACTCCTCAAGGGCAGCCCCATGTACAATGTGTTACAGTAGTCCACACGGGACGTGATTAGTACCTGCATGACTGTGAGGACGGTATGTTGGTCCAATTCATTATCCAATTCTCTTTCCAACTTTGTGTCCTGAACCTCTGGCTTACTCTACTCTATCATTAATTTGCTTTACCTCTCCAGATATTTGTCTTATATAATTTTCCATCTTTTTAACATCTTCTCTCATCTCTTCTCTTAGCTTTACAAATCTTTCATCCATTCTTTTTTCAAAAGCATCCAATGTATTTCACATTTGTTGAAAACATTTCTGAAGTATGTCTTATGAAATCATTTTTTTCTGTAGGTTGTCCTAGTGAGCCTCTTCTGCCATCTCTTACCATTTTTCTAGTACTCATTTTTAATCCCAAAGCAAAAAAAAAAAAAAATCTCAAACCAGCAAAATAAAAAGACATTGCCTTTTTTTACTTGTTATCTTTTTGTTTGAAACACTTTCACTTTAGTAGCACTCAATAATTTTCACCACAACATATATCATGTCTCCATCGCAACTAAAGGTCACATTCTGTGCCTTATCTTTTGTTATGCAGATTCCACCAATCACATAGGCTCTTGAAGGATAGCTAGTAACATTCCCACACTGGGCTAATCCTTTAGCTGGCTTAATAAAAAAAAATATACCAAAGGTCTTTCAGCAAAAGTAAAAATAATAAAACTAGAAATATAAAAATATGGAAGAAAAAAAGACTGTCCCCTTGTCTGTTTTAAAAACCCTCTTATATCTTGTCTTAATTAAGCTTTTTGCAAATAGCTCTTGAATCTTTAAATCAAAGTCTCTCTTGTGTGTGTGTGTGAGGGGGGGTTAGGTAATCTCGAAAGAAGGTTTAACTCACTGCAAGGGATCTCATATTTGCTGCAGAAGAAATCTCTCTTCTTCTGTAATTAATTACTTTCAAGGTGATTAAGAAGTGGGAAGAAGCAAGGCTGAAATATCCATTTGACCCCACTGCATTTAGGAGTGCAGATTGAATTCCCGATGTCCCGGCAGTTCAACCCCCAAGCCGGCTCCAAAGGCTTTTCCGTATCTGCAGTTAACTCAGAAGGAACCACCAACTGGAGCACGTGTCCTTTATCTCTCAATCTTCCTTTGATCCAGGAAGATTGCACATGACAGAACTGATCTACCGGCCAGGGTTCTCAGCTGCAATGGCTCTCCGCACTTTGGAGACTGTCAGTCTGCCATTTTTCCCCACCAGAAGCTGCGTTTTTCACTTTTCATAATCTAATTCCTAGTTCTAGACTAAAAGACCCAGAGGGGTGAAATGTAGCTGTCCGTACTTCATTGTGACATATGAATCTGCTTGCTCTATTGTTCAACTTAAAAAAAAAAATGAATGAGAAACGAATGTGCTACATAGCAAAACACAAGTCTTCAATATAAACCATATTTATAACAGTGCCTCTCGGTCCAGAGAGATAATCTTAGAAAATGAAAGGTTAAGGACCCTTGATCTAGTTTGCTTATTATACTCCCCTTTAAAAAAAAAATTTTAAAAATCCCAGTAGACCTTTCAACAGGGTATGATGATGAGCAGTTTGTTTAAACTATGTTTTTGGGAAACCAGTTTTCAGGTACACATTGCTTGAAACAAATGCAATCAATTCTAGCGTGTAATTGGTGCTTCCATTCCTACACAGCTACTCCTACAAAGAAGAAATAATCTTTCATCTAAGATTCCATTGTTGTACTTGAAAAGCTGACTTTTTTTGGCTGGAATATATTAGGAAAGACAATATGAAAAAATAAATATTTATTTATTAATCAAATTGTATAGCTGCCCAACTCACAAAAGGTAATTCTGGTTGCTGTAAATATGTAATATTTATGTAAACAAGGACCCCTGTAAGGGTCCTAGGAATCCCCAGGGTCCTAAGACTTTACTTGGAGAATCACTGATCTAGTCCATAATATCAAGTGCTACATTTGAATGGCTTCAATGATTAAATCCCAAGTTTCTAAGAATATCTGTACTTCCACTATAGAAACCCTGTTCTCTCAAAGATCATTTATTTTCAAACTTACTCATATTTTTACATCTTATGCCAAAGCCTTTACTGAATCCCCACTTATTGTTCTAATTCCAATTACCCTGGTAAGAGGAAAGTAATTCTCTCATCTATCTAAAACCTTACCAGGGACATTTATTTGGTTTATGGCACCAGTAATGAATCACCCAACAAAATAAAACCACAGCAAAATAAAAACGGAAATGAACTCTCAAATAAATATTTTACTTTAATTAGTAAAAAATTACTAAAAAATTACAAAATCTAACCGGGTTCATAGGGATACAAGTGATTATTTTAATTCATACTGACATTCACATAATAATTGAAGGTATATTGGGTGGCTGATTACATCCTTTGATGTTGAGAATGTCCCTTTCAAATGATTTTTTTTCCTTAATTGTCCCAGGCATTTTTTCTGTATTGGTGGAAACATGGAGTTCAGTCAAGGTCCCAGAGTTTTTCCCAGATTCCTTAAAGGAAGACTGAAATGCAATGAAATATGATCATATAGTACTAACTGTAAGAACCTTTAGGAAGTAGAATGATATAAAGATGATAAATGAATTGTGTATCATAGCAAAACACAAAAAGAGTGTTACTTTTCTTTCCTTATTAAATGTTCCTTCTTGTTCATCTCAGGCCTCAATAAAATGATATAGCATTTGGGGCAAAAGATACATGCCAGTAAGCCAGCGCTGGAGGATAAGATAGAGAAGATCTCCACAGCTACCATGGATTTTCCTTTAGTGCTCAGGTAGGTTGGAACAAAGGATAGCCAAACGCTACAAAAGACCAACATGCTGAAGGTGATAAACTTGGCCTCATTGAAACTGTTGGGCAGCTTCCTGGCTTGGAAAGCTATATTAAAGCTGAGACTAGCCAGGAAACCCATGTAACCCAGGACACAGTAAAGCATGATCACTGAGCCCTCGTTGCATTCCATTATCATTTCCCCCTCCAGTGAGTGCAGGTCTGTATCTGGGAAAGGAGGAGAGGTACTCAGCCACACTATGCAAATTCCCACCTGGATGAAGGAACCCAAAAGGACAATAGAATTGGCCAATCCCTTCCCTACCCATTTCCTCATTCCAGAGCCTGGTTTGGTTGCCATGAAGGCCAGAATCACAGTCATAGTTTTTGCCAATACAGACGAAAGGGCCACTGAGAAGACAATACCAAAAGTCATTTGCCGGAGAAGGCAGGTCATCTTTTCAGGCCTTCCAATGAAGAGGAAGGAGCAGAGGAAGCAGAGGAGAAGGGAGAGAAGGAGGATACAAGTGAGACTCCGGTTGTTGGCTTTGACAATTGGAGTCTCTCGATGCATCCAAAAGATTCCAAGCACAAAGGTTGTAATCACAGAGAAAACAATAGCCAAGATTATAAAGAGGATTCCTAAAGGCTCTTCATAAGAGAGATAGATCAATACTTTGGGAATACATTGATTGTGGATCTTGTTGGAATACTGATCTTCTGGACATTTCATACAGGCATCCATATCTGGAAAGAGAAAAAAGGTCTTTTTAAATATATCAAAATTTGTAGCAATCTCTAGAACAACCATTGTTATCTGTTTAGTGAAGATAGAATAGGAATTCTCCTTTTTTAAAGAAAATAGATGTGGCAATCTCATCCTTTAAATTCAAAGCTGAGATATTCATTAGTGTGATAGGTTTCCAATGTTATGGATATATATATAAGGTCTTTTGAAGAGATTTGTTTACATTTTCTCTGCCTCCAAAATCAGTGAGAATTTTGTGAAGCTCATAGGAATGTAGTACAATTATAAAGTCAATCTATGCCTTTGAAAAATAGTAATTGTATATTCCATTAAAAACTACATTTTTGTTTTCTTTTGTTTTCTGTTCTTTTTGAGGGAGAATCAACAATAATGAATCCAATTTCTTGCATACAAGGTCTTATACATTCTGGTAGAAATGTATTTATAGACCTTGGGGGGAAGGAAAACAGAGGGTATTGACTGAAAATAAGAAGCAAAGGATAATCTCTAATTAGCTCAAGACATTTCTTTTACTTTTTCTCAAAGAATTACCATCCAAAATAATACTTTTCTCATCGTATCACCAAACTCTGGGCAAAATGTAGGTGTATCCCTAGGACCAACATAATATTAAATCAGAACAACAATGTAATTGATATTAGTGTTTTCTGTCCTGTTTGTACATTTCAAAAATGAGGCGTTTATTAAAAGATTCTTTATGTACCATCTCAGTTTGTACTAGCAGCATTTACTTATTCAGAGACATGGAATTTTTTACAAATAAATATTATATCGATAGATCAATTTGATATGCAAACTTAAAAAAATAGATTGGACGAATAATTGGAGAATCCTATTTTGTCTAAACAATAGAAAACAATCTTAACAACAGTATTAAAAAAATTAATGGATCAAAATGCATTTGTATTGAAAAAGAAAGATTAAGCCCTCTTGTTGTTGGAACTAAATATCTATTGCATGGGATCTGATAGCTGAACAATAGAAATAGATGACATATCCTTTACTTTTTGCCTAGATACTACTCCTTGGACATTGGAAGGATAAATGTATGGCCCAAATGGATCATTGCATTGAAAACCTAGACCTATCTATGAATTCTGTTAAAATCCATTTATATAGGGGTGATTGCAATACAACAGGGTCATCATAAACAACTCTTCTTTATCACTTTATTTACATATATACATGTATAAAAAGTGGATGGATGGATGGATGGATGGATGGATGGATGGATGGATGGATGGATGGACGGACGGATGGATGGATGGATGGATGGATGAATAGATAGATAGATAGATAGATAGATAGATAGATAGATAGATAGATGATACAGTAGTTGCTGTTGTTCATGTTGCACTTAAATAAATAAGGGCACTGGGGTGGATTATTGCTAGTCAGTTAGCGAAAGTACTCACATTTCTTTCCCTACCTATTTTGTCAGAGATCTGCCCTTCTGGACATGGTGCACAATCATAGCAGCAAAACTTCTCCCCCTCCTTCTTCTTTCTGCTGTAGCCTGGACAGCAGTGGTCATTGCACACGGAGAGAGGCAGCACCTAGACAGAAACATGTACTAGAGAAACAGGCAATAAAACACCTGCATCAATTGAGCTTTCCCAAACAAGGAACCCAAACTGGGTTGAGGAAGCAGAAGATGTAAATGAGGAAAATGAAATTAATGGGAGGGAATTAAGATAGGCTTGTTTGGAGGCTCTAGCAGGACAAGGAATATGGTATACCCCTCACCAAAAATCAGAACACTCCTTATGTCTGGGATGTTCGTCCTCTCCCTCTGAGCATGCAGCTTCAGGAGGGATCCACATGGAGTGGTGGGAGAGGAAGGGGACACCTGCCTAGCCAGTCAGTTCAGCCAAATCAACCCTGGCAATCAATGGAGTGACAGGTATCACGTCTTCATAACATACCCTCATATCAGGGATGTATAACATTACTCAGGGATAGGTTGACTAATGTTAAATAACTAATCCTAGATGGGTTTCCCATGCAGCTCAAGATGGACACTCTTGAAATGCACATTATCTGTGCAATTAAGAATGGAAGTAATGCTTTTACAGGTTCTGACATGTATTTGAATTACTCCTAATGCGTTCTTTGTGTTATGTTGTTTCCAAAGATGGGTTTAAAGAAGATTCAAACTTTGCCCTCCAGGTTCTTCTGGTGGGGCCAAATGTTTCAATTCATAGCATGAATGTGGCACTAGCTACGTTGGCAATCCATATGTCCCAGGTACAATTGGAAGCGTTAAACCTGCCAAGGACAGGTTCTTTTTAATACTCAATTGCTTATATAGAGAATATAATAC